AAAAAAAAACAAAACAACTCAGGAGGACTGTGGGTCAGGGGAAACTGTCAAACTTTCCTTTTTCCCATGGACGTGCTAAGGTGCCAGCCATGTATCTCTCTCTCTCCCCTCCTCCAACCTTGAGGTGTTCATCAGATCCTGATTCTGTTTCACGCTTCTAATCCAGCTTTAAAGAAGGAAGCCACATCCGTTGGAATAAATGAGTCCTTCACAGCGGGCACAATGGTGAATCTCAGAGTATGCAGTCATAGCTCTTAACTCTGAGTGGGTGGAAGTTGGCAGTGGGACTATTTTGAAGTTCTCTAAGAGTCAGCAAAAAGGACAGGGGCCAGCCAGAGGCATGTAAGAACACACAGGGAGGTGAGGAAGTGGGAAGTTTGTTTTCTCATCATTCCACACACATTTGTTGGCTAATTTTTGCCAGTTGTATTGCAAGTTCTGGGTATGCAGAGATCAATGAGACTGAGCTCTGGCTTCCAGGAGAGCATAGTCTGGAGAGACAGACAAGTACCATGCAGCATAGTGTGATGAGTGCTGTAATATATGGGAGCTCTGAGCTCTGTAGGAACACAGAGCACTAGCTATCCTTGGGGAGATATCTATCCAAAGGGGGCCAGCGAGGGCCACACTGGAGAATAAATGTAGCAAATTTTAAAAGACTAATAACCCAGCAGGTTACTTGTGAGGCAAGTTCTCTGAAGTTGGTGAATCAGTCTTCCCTGGGCCCAGACTCCTTTCCCTGCCTGCTAACATTCTCCCAGCACTGCCCCTGTTGGCCATCTCTAATGAGAAAATCCACCAAGAGCCCTAGAAGCCTGACTTACCAGTCTACGGAACAAGACCGAGCTGTTATAGCACAGAAGTAAATATAGTGGTGGACCACGTGGCTTCTCACTAAAGAGAGATTCACCCTGGTCACATCCCTGAGACAACCACTGACCCTTGATGTTCATCCAATCTATTTTTTTCTTAAGAACCTACTATATGTTTGTTACTAATGAACCAAGATGGTAAAAATATGATTCCTTACCTAAAGGAGTGTGCAGTCAAAAGGAGGAAGCCAGATACATAAGCCAATCCATTTAATATCATAAATTCTATTATAGGAAAAAGTATGAGGTGAGTGGGCACAGAGCACAGATGGTCCTCTCAGCACCAGGCAGGATGGTGTAAATGAAATGGTGCAAAAGGCGAGCAGCTGACCCAGCAGACAAAGTAGACAAAGGTATCCGCGACAGGAAAGCACAAGTGGAGCGTTATGACAGTGAGCTGGAAGAATCTGACTTAAAGTCCTTTATTGGCCTTTTTGAAGTTCCCAAGGACAAAGGGTTGGTCTCTGCCTTCCAGTGGCCTCTACAGAGCCTGTAGAGCCTCACTGCCCTGTGGCTCCAAGTGCCTCTCTCTCTCTCTCTCTGGCATTACTTTCTCTAGAGATTGGTTCAGTCTCATCGTTTGTGCAGAAAGAAACTGAGGCTGAGAGGTAAAGACAGGTTCTTACAATGAGTTGATAGCAGCTTGGACAAGAGCAGGGACCCCCAGTTAGCATTTCTTCTATCTACTCATTCAGCATACAAGCTCTAGAGCAGAACTGGGAACCAAGTCCACATCTGGCAGTCAGATCCTGGCTCTCAGTCATCAAGCCGTGTCTGCNGCTCTAGAGCAGAACTGGGAACCAAGTCCACATCTGGCAGTCAGATCCTGGCTCTCGGTCATCAAGCCGTGTCTGCCTCTCTCAGTTCTGACAGTAATTTGGGGCTTCCTAGGCCTTTCTCATTTCTGACCCAAAGCTCAAAGAGCCTGATGGTTCTAAGATTGTTCTGGGTTAACAGAGTCTAGTGGAGGGCTCTCTTCTCGAGCCCGGTCAGGGTGAACACAGGTGAGTTGCGGGCTGAGGTCCGGGCCCCAGTGTGGCCTGGGACTGACAATATGTGACTGTTCGCAGTGCAGAAACCAGTGTTTCCGCAGGACTTTCTGTGGAGCAGCTGCGAGCTGCGGGCTACAAAGACGCTCTCCCCAGAGGCACAGATCAGCAGGCTTGGCACCGTTCCTGCCCCCCGCCGTCCCCTCCCGTTCTTCCTTCACTCTCCCACCCCTTCCTCTCGCAAACCCTGGGGTTCCACTCCCCTCCCCCACCTCCCAAATGGATGACAGCGCGGAGGTTTAGGATGCTGCAGATCCTCCCAGGGCCCCTGGGACAAACAAAAAGACCGAGAGAACCCTTATGCCCTGGCGGAGGGGGCAGCCGGGAGCGGCACCTGCCCCGGCCCCACCGCCCCGCGGGGTACCTCC